TTTGGCAGTAGTTTCCACGCTGCCAAAAAGTCTACTAAGGGAATCAGTCTCTTGAGACTGATCTCTGGTGTAATACGAGCAGCTAGCTCGGTGCCCTGTAACGGCGAACCGGCAGGGAACAACCAAACCCGCTGCTCTAGAGACCTCCGCAGAGCCGAGCTCTCTGACGCAGGAGATTGATACGGAGGGCGTCAAAGAGCTCGCCAGTTGCACAAAAATGTAGACGGGCGCGTCCCTATCCACTTCCTTAACCACCAGATCCAGCGCCTGCTCTCGGGGTTTCGGAAGCCCGTGCTGCGGTACATCCCCCCCGGAGCGTCTCGCCCTCTCCCCGGGGGGGAAGTACCGCAGCGCAGGCTTCCGAAACCCCGAAAATAGAAAATAGTTCAAAGTTAACTATTAGAAAGAATAGCTGAACATAAGTTCACAAATAAAATATTTTGTTTAAATTGTTACTGCCTTGAGATATTATTTTGGAATAAATGTAAAATGCTTAAAAACTTGATGATATTCATACTTGGCTTTAATAAACAGAATATTGATTGCATTGTTAATGTAAAAATGTAAAATAGAATTGTATTTGTTGTTGTTGTTTTCTGATAGTGTAAGTAATGTTTATTTAACCAAGAACATGTGACTGAGACAGGAATTTACATTTGATTTTCAAAAAAGGACTAAAGAACTTTCAACCTTCTAAAGAAACTCTTAGACCTAAGAAACCCTATATATATATATATATATATAATGTATGTATATATATGTATAATAGTGAATAAATCTAAAGCTTTTGAGACTATTATTTTGTGTTATTTCATTTGTCATTAGGGGGGTCGGTGCCCTCTTTTTCAGTTTCAGCACATGCCCCTCAAAAGGTCTGTGCACGGCTCTGATTGGGGATATATGATGTTGGGTGATATTTTTATTGAAAAGACTATCATTGGAAAACGGATGGTGCCATTTTTTATTAATAATGCATGTTGACTGGACATATATTAAAACTCTGTTGAACTCAGTGACAACTTATTTTCCACGCATTTTTTTTAATCTTTCATTTAATTATATATATAATTATTAATAGTGAATAAATCTAAAGCTTTTGAGGCTATTATTTTGTGTTATTTCATTTGTCATTAAGGGGGAGGGGGTGCCCTTTTTCAGTCTCAGCACATGCCCCTCAAAAGGTCTGTGCACGGCCCTGCATGCAAGTTCTGGATCTTTTCCAAAACGCTTTGTTCACTTACATTTTTAAAAAAATAAATAAATAACAAATTTATCTTGAAAATGTCCTTTGCTCTGACCCAAATACTACTGGAGAAACCATGATCTCAAGGGTCATGTGTTTAGAATGTTTTTTTACAGTCTTGTTCAGGACAGTAGAAGTTTATGGCACATACTCTTTGGACATTTGCTCTTTTTTGTGTTATACGTTTACATTTAGATTGCAGACATTTTAATACAAAGAGAATTGAAACATGGTTCATCCTGAGAAGACATGAGAAGTGCTGCAATACAAACTTAACAAAATTTTGAAAGAAAGCACTAAGTGAAAAAAAAAAACAGTGACTTAGCAGGGCATATTTTTGGTTAATGGTTTAAGAGTAAGTGCCTTAGTAGTTGAATAGTTGTAGAAGATTAGAAGACAGTGAGGGTCTGCTAGTGAAGCATTCACTCAAGAAAACAATGAACATTTTAACATCTCATTTTATACAGTTATAGGATATTGTAAATGCTGCTAAAATTTGGTTTCTGCTCTAGAGTTTTTTCATGATTCAAATTCATTTTTATGAATTACAACATATTTCATTACAGTAAAATATTGATATATTTAACGACAACAACAACAACTGAATATAAATATTCTGTTTGGTCATTTTACATCTCTGTGTTGCAGAATGTATAGTTTAACAAGAACACAACTGCCTTACTAATGCCTGTAAATCATTCAAATTACTTACTACCACATTTTCTGGCTACCACAAAACTTATAGTTAAAAAATAATTATTCAGTTTGTAAATCTGTATTGGAAAGGGAAGGTTAAAGGACATTTTAAAGATGTTAAAGTAACATAAATGTAAAAATTACCAAACGTTTTTCTGTTTCTACAATATTAAACTATATCAGAATTTAAACTAACCATACATCAAGTTGACGAGTTTGTTGAGAAGAACAAAGTAAAAATCCAACAGTCATCTATATCAAGGAGTTTGCATGCTATTTCTTGAACTACTGACCAGTAAGAGGCAGTATTTGATAAGGCAGTGGGCTCTGAGATTTTATTTTTTTGCAGACCTATGCATTTTTTTAACTTAAACATTTCAGAAGCACATAATGAGAAAAGACAATTGAAAATGAATGAAAAGCAGTATTTATTCAAATGAATGATCTGAAATGGTTTATTCAACTAACCTCAAATAACTTATGTAAGACACTGAACAATGTTAGCTTTTAATTGATAACTTATAGCTCCTCCACGTAAAAAAAAAAAAAAAGTCTACTCAAACAGGACTTGACAGATGTGCATTTCTTGCTGAAGCACTGACAACAGATATGTCACCATTGCAAAATGATATCAGTCTGTTTCATAGACTTTGTGCATGTGCATTTGAAGTCAGGCCTTTATCCAAACTTTGAAAGCTCCTTACACACACTGTATTCTTTCTCTGTTTTAAAAGATATTTCCAATATTTTACTTCATAATCACAGTACGTTCGTGAATGTTACTGCTGGTATTTGTTTTCAGATGTCTTTTTCATTTGACCATTTTTGATTTTCATTGATTTCTTATGACAATGGTCATTTTAATTCAAATAATGCATGAAAAATATTTAACCTATATTCACTGACAGCAAAACTGTGATTTGGGCTAAATTTGTGCTTTAGAGGATATTGCGCAGATGGTAGCCTATCGCCTAACGAGATCAGAAGAATCTTGGTTTTTAAAACCAAATGTATGTTGGTAACATTCGGGTCTTCTTTCTTTAAGAAATTCAAGAGTTCAACTAATTTAATTTGACAGCCCCAGCAGGGTACATTGCCACAACCCTTTCACCCTCCCATTTAACAAATTCTTCTTTTTGTGTTACACAAGTCATCTGTGTTTGCTGAGGTCTTGCTTCTAATTAACAGCACTGCCTGCTTACAGCTCAGCTGCACTCAGAAAGCTGAAGAAATGGCAATGGCATTCATTTGTGCAGTTCTTCGCTTTGTTCCTGTGTTTACATTTTTCGAAGTAGCAAATAAAACAAAGATTACTGGATTACATTAGACAAGAAAATGCTATTTCAGTCTTTCAAAACCGTTAAACTCTATTAATCAAAGGTTATGTATCAATCCATCTTGAAGTCAATGGTTGAATTTCATCTTCACAGAATCTCAGAATGAGTGTCATATGTTTCGTAAACGTTTATTTGGTGCCAACTTGATCTGAAATTTAAAATGAGAAACTAAACACATTTTGTAATTTAAATTAAATGACAACATCCCAACACTTACAAAAAGTAACATTTAAATAATAATCAATAGGGTAGCCTTTTTTTGACATGCACATAAATGTAACCACTTGGTATATGCATATGGAAATGCATTCACCTTGATAGGCTACTACCTGAAAACCACTGCGCCGACGAACACCGAGCTTCTCCGGCATAAAATTCACAATCAATTTCAGGGTCGCATAGTTTACGCACGCGCAAAACCGCTGCCTTCGTTCCCTCCCCCCACAACATAACGTGCTGCTGTCGGACCGGTTTGTTGGGGCTGTTTGGCATCAGGAGCGTTGCAGTACATTTGGAGACGGCAGAGGTCAGAGGTTCTTCGCTCTTCATCAGGCCATCAGCACCACTGAGATCAGCCTCATCACACCGCATTCCAGCATGTCTAAAAAGAGCGAAAAACCAGCGGAGGGCAAAGAGCCCGAGAGCAGCTGGAAAGACGTGATCTACAATCCAAGATCTGGAGAATTCTTCGGTCGGACCGCGAGCAATTGGGGTGAGTTGACACAACCCCTACGAACGGCATCCTTTACACATCATTCATGCAAGTGTCGAAATGAGCAGCTTGCAGAAATAACCATATACGGCGGATTTAGTTGCAGAAGCTGTTCAGCCACAAGCATTTAAAGCATGGGGACCCCATAGGGTCATGAATGAAAACGAGGAAAGCGATCGTTATCTTTTAGGCATTCCGACATCTTGATGTCATCAACTCTTTCACTGATGACATCAGAGGCAATTTCGTGTCCGCTCTCGTCTGCGTTATGAATAATGCACAGTGATAAATATGATGTCCAGTGCTCAACATCTCCAGGTTTTAGCAGATCTTCTCCTGTAAAATGATGGGGGGAGAAATCAGAGAATCAATATGAGGATGCTACAGAAAATGGAAGCGACAGCAGTTCTTTAATGACATTATTTTAAGGATTTTAAATGCAACGAAATGACTAACGTTCAGTCCTTGTTGCGCGTGCCGAAGATTCAGTAGGCTATCGCGTGAGTTTTTCCGGTGTGGCCTGAAAATTCACCGTGGTGTGAAAAAAAGGAGCCTCTGTAGATGCTAATAATCATTATTAGACACTAGCTCGGTGGCAAAACAATCTTTTTATTCCAGACTGTGGTTTTCGATCTATGTACATCTGTTTATTTATCAAAGCAAGGCTCTTGTTTACGATATCTACCGAAAACGTTTATGCGCTGATTCCATAATGTTATCCTTAAAAACAGCAATGTTATCAGAAACTATGTGCTTACTGCTTAACGTGAGAGACAGGCTAGTGTCGATAACCTTCTCTTGTCCTCATTGACCTAAGGCTCATTATACCGTACCTAGTTATTTCATCGGACTGTCTTGGCCTGCAGAATGAATAGTTTTCATATACAGTCAAAACAGCGACCCCGATTGACTAGAAGCCCATTTATTCTTGTTCCGTTATTTTCCGAGCGACACTGATCAACTGCTGAATGGAAAATAACATTATTTTACAACAGGTGAATGAATGAATGAGTTAATAAATTAATGGAATATATATATATATATATATATATATTAGTCATTTAGTAGACTTTATCCAAAGCGACTTACAAATGAGGACAACAGAAGCAATCATATAGTATTAAAACAACTAAAAACAGATCCAAAACTAAAAGCTAAAACTTTATAAATACTACTTATACACATTTAAAAAAATAAAGAAATTAAATGAAAATGACAAGTGCATACAACAAAATTTCAAAACTTAACATTTAAATGAAAAACAAAAAAATAAAGCTAAAAACAATTCAAAATATTAAAGAACAAAAGGTATGAGTATAATAATGATTCTAACATAACACTAAGCCAAACTCCAAAAAAACAACTACATATATGTGTATGTACAACCACACACGCATACATATACAGTATATATATATAAATATATACATACACATTTATAAATTCAATATATATATTATTTCATTTCCATTTAGTTTGTTGAAATATTAAAATAACTCAAATTAAATAAAACTAAAACTTAATAAAAGACCTATACAGACAGAATAAATTCAGACGTAATTTAACTAAAATAAAAATAAATAACAAATACAAATAATACAAATCAAACGACAGTAGTTTATCAGTAATCCTACAAAATAACACTGCCAAACTTACATGCTAAAAAAACAACAACTTACTTACACATAGTAAGAAATGTTTATAAAAACTGAAACAGAAGTGAAACAAGTAGTAGGCCAATGTTTTATTGGCCAGAAATGATGGTTTAAAGTTAAAACATCTTAATGATGGATTTGTTTCTTACAAACATGCTGCTTTTCTTATATATATATATATATATATATAATTATTTCTCCACATAACATCTTTTTTTTTGTAAATCACTGAATTAAAGCTTTACAGTACGTTACCCTTTAAAAAAGTGCATGCGTCTTGCGGAAAAACATTGTTTTGGTTGTGCTTCGGCTCAGCTCTTCTGCACAGATGAATGTGGTTTGATGCACATGCATAAACGGGTAACAGGTACACATGCATAAACAGGTAACAAATAACAGGTTATTTTTGTTTTTACAACCGGAGACTCCCTGGAGTTTTGTCGTTTTGAAAAATGCGTTCAGCGTCACAGTACAAGCACCACACACGTGCAAACAAATATAAAGTGGCTCCAGGGGCGCCGTAAGGAAGAGGGGGGTGGCGTGGTTGGAGTTAGGCCGATTCCAAGGGCCCGACGATGCAGGGGCCACCCCGAGGGGGCAACGCGATTGTTTTACCGAGGGGATTATGGAAGATTATGCTTTTTTAGCAGGGCCTAATTATTTCAGATCTGCCTATAGCAACAAATGATTTTCAAAGGTACTGTGTTTCAGGTCTCATCCTCCTCTTTTACTTGGTCTTCTATGGCTTCTTGGCTGCCATGTTTGTCTTCACTATGTGGGCAATGCTTCTGACGCTGAATGACGACACACCAAAGTATCGAGATCGGGTTGCGTCCCCAGGTGAGTTTTTCACTTTTGCAAACATTGACAGTAATTATGAATTGAAGATTGTAAATTAAAAGGGCTATTTTCAGTTGTACATACAGTATTATTCAGCTATGAGTTATTTTTAAAAAAGTATAACTAAATTTTTTTCTATTTTGCAGGGTTGGCTATTAGGCCAATCTCTTTGAATATAGTTTTTAACAGATCAGAACCTCTTGCATATGGCCAGTATGTCCAGTATCTTGAATCGTTTCTGCATCGTAAGTGCTCTACACTTTGCCTCACTCCCCCTTTTTTAAAAATAATTTCTCATCTGGTTGCATAGTACTTGTATATTTATTTATAGTTTCTCTATTTTCCATTTCCAGAGTATAATGACTCAGAACAAGCCAAAAATGACTTGTGTATGGCGGGTCAGTACTCGGAGCAAGATGAGGAACCTCAGAAGAAGGTGTGTCAGTTCAGGAGGAGTTTACTCCAGCGTTGCTCCGGGATAGAGGATACCACTTTTGGCTATGCTAAAGGACAGCCCTGTGTTATTGTCAAGATGAATAGGGTGAGTAACCTTGCATACACTGTTGTTCAAAAGTTTGGGGTCAGTATGATTTGTTTTAAATACATTGATTTTGTAACGAGCACGGATGCAATGAATTGCTCAGAAGTGACAATAAAGACATTTATAATGTTACAAATGTGTTTTAATTTTAAATAAATGCTGCTCTTTTGAATTTTCTACGTATTAAAGAAACCTGAAAATTTGTATCGTAATTTCCACAAAAAATATTAGGCAGCACAACTGTTTTTCAACATTGATAATAATAAGAAATGTTTCTTGAGCACCAAATCAGCATATTAGAATGATTTCTGAAGGATCATGTTACACTAAAGACTGGAGTAATGGCCGCTGAAAATTCAGCTTTGCCATCACAGGAATAAATTGCATTTTAAAATATATTAAAATTAGAAAATAGTTAATTGTAATAATATTTCACAATATCAAACTATTGTCTTCAAGAGTAAAATGTCTCGGTATTCATATCGACTTACTGACTGACTGACTGACTGACTGACTGAGGGTGAATCAGGCTGATATTGTGTTATTCCTAACCCTCAGATCATTGGTCTTAAGCCAGCTGGAGATCCGTACATCAACTGTACATCAAAGGTAACAAAAGTAGACCTGTTTAATAGGGGTGCCAAATAAAGAATGATTTACATTTTTGATATTAAGAAATAGTAGATATAGTATAAGACCATAAATAACATATATGTTTGTATTTGTGGTTTAAAGCTGCAATTTGTAAGAGAAATTTGGAAAATGGAACTAAAACACAGATTCCTCGACACAACTTTAAGAGATTAAGACCCCATGCTGGCTGTTTCTCAGAGTAATCACAATTAAAGGAACACGCCACTATTTTTGAAAATAGGCTCATTTTCCAAATCCCCTAGAGTTAAACAGTTGAGTTTTACCGTTTTCGAATCCATTCAGCCGATCTCCGGGTCTGGTGGTAGCACTTTTAGCTGTAGCTTAGCATAGATCATTGAATCTGATTAGATCGTTAGCATCTCGCTCAAAAATGACCAAAACTTGACTCTTCTGTAGTTACATCGTGTACTAAGATCGACAGAAAATGAAAAGTTGCTATTTTCTGGGCCGATATGGCTAGGAACTATACTCTCATTCCGGCGTAATAATCTAGGAACTTTGCTGCCATACCATGGGTGCAGCAGGTGCAATGATATTACGCAGCGTCTTAAAATAGGCTAACTTCCGTCAACATAACCAATGTGATCACCTGCTTGCACAGGGAGCGTGCTTTGCAACCATGGAGACATTTGTGAGAGACGATTCAAAAGATATTTACTTTGGTGCAGATCCTGAACGTATCTATTTGAACTGGAATACATTGAAGATGAGCTTTTAGTGCCGGTCACGTTGGAAGTTACCAAGCTGGGGACTATTTTCAGGCACTGCGTAATATCATTGCACCTGCTGCACCCATGATACGGCAGCATAGTTCCTTGATTATTACGCTGGAATGAGAGTATAGTTCCTAGCCATATCGGCCTAGAAAATCGCAACTTTTCTTTTTCTGTCGGTCTTAGTACACGATGTAACTACAGAAGAGTCAAGTTTTAAATAGGAAAAATATCGAAACTCTTTGGTCATTTTTGAGCAAGATGCTAACGGTCTAATCAGATTCAATGATCTATGCTAAGCGGCATCTAAAAGTGCTGCCGCCAGACCCAGAGATCGGCTGAATGGATTCGAAAATGGTAAAACTCAACTGTTTAACTCTAGGGGAGTTGGAAAATGAGCCTATTTTCAAAAATAGTGGCGTGTTCCTTTAAGGTCCATGCCTGGCCTGCTAAGTATTCTCCAACAATTACTTTCTCGTCTACTTAACCATTTTCCGTTATTGTTTTGGCTATTATGGCTTTGGTTTGCTCACTGAGGGCTCATGACAAGATATAATAAAGGTAAAAATCACATTGCCAATCAAAGTGTAAGATGCCAGCAAATCAAAGGTCTGATTGGTGCCCACACAGCCCTCCCCTTTTGGGGGTGTTTCATTGCTCTGTAAAACAGCAAAACCGTGTTGGGTGTTTGTAGTTGCCAGTGTTTCTGCAACTTTCTCATGGATTTCAGCTTTAAGGTTTGATTTATATGTTGTTGTGTTTCCTGCTTGGATTTCTAATTGTTAGTCCATCCTCTCTCAAGGGTGTTTTTTTTTCTTTTCTCTCTCCCTTTTTCTTTGTCTCTCATGTCTCAATTGCATGCTGCCAGTTGAACTCCTTTGTAAAGTGATGGGTAAGATCACTGTATATCTGGTCTCTCTTATTCTCCCGGTCTTTTGTTTGCTACTAGCGTGATCGAGCATGTCTCTTATATGCTTTATCATTCCTTACACTCTAAAAAATGCTGGGTTAACTACAACCCAGTGGTGGGTAAAATAGGGACAAACCCAGCAATTGGGTTGTATTTAACACAGCATTTTTTAGAGTGTACCTTAAATTTTCTGCAAAGCCACAACATACACATATTTTGCACAATCTTTTGAGTAGGGTTGGGCGATGTCTACCAAATTGGCATCGGACAATGTCTACAGTGAAACATCGTGATGGACGATGACATCGGGGGGCGGGGTTAGGGGGTGTGCCCAAAGCGTGAATCTGTATGCAGAAAGGCACGGAAAACAAATAACGCATTCTACGGAGCCACTGAAGGGACATGGTTAGCCGCTTGCTAGCGGTAGACTGTTACAGTACATGAAAGTTCACTTACCACATACACAGAGTGAGGAGAGATGACTCATAGGATAATGGGAGAATGATTTGCAGATACTGAGCACCACTGACAAATATCTAATCTTGTAAAATGTTTGGTAGGTACTGCCGCTCCGTAGTATAGAGTCCGTGTGATTGCGAATCTCGAAAGTGAAAGTAAAATGAGAGTGCGCATTCGAAAGCGGTTTCAATGCCCT